CAGGGAGCCTGATGCGGGGCTAGATCCCAGGACCCTGGGATCATGACCTGAGCCGAAGGCAGACGCTTAACGACTGAGCCACCCAGGCGCCCCTCAAACCAGGTTCTATTCAAGGACTAAATTGAATTTAAATTAAAAAAATTTTTTTTAAAAGACATTTTGTGGGGCACATTTTGTGGGGTTTTGATTTGTATTTCCCTGATGATGAGTGATGTTGAGCATCTTTTCATGTGTTTGTTAGCCATCTGGATGTCTTCCTTGGAAAAGTGTCTATACATGTCTTCTGACCACTTCTTAACTGGATTATTTGTTTTTTGGGTGTTGAGTTGGTAAGGTCTTTGTAGATTTTGGATACTAACCTTTTATCCGATATGTCATTTGCAAAGATCTTCTCGCATTTTGTCAGTTGCCTTTTAGTTTTGTCAGTTGTTTCCTTCATTGTCCAGAAGCTTTTTATCTTGATGAAGTCTCAATACATCATTTTTGCTTTTGTTTCCCTTGCCTCTGGAGACGTGTCTACTAAGTAGTTGTTGCAGCTGAGGTCAAAGAGGTTGTTGCCTGCGTTCTCCTCTAAGATTCAGATGGTTTCCTGTCTCACATTTAGGTCTTTCATCCATTTTGAATTTATTTTTGTGTATGGTGTAAGAAAGGGGTCCAGTTTCATTCTTCACATTCTTTTTTCCACTGGATATTCTTTCCTGCTTTGTCAAAAATTACTTGGCCATACAGTTGTGGGTCCATTTCTGGGTTCTTTATTCTGTTCCATTCATCTATGTGTCTGTTTTTGTGCCAGTACCATGCTGTATTGATGATTACAGCTTTATAATACAGCTTGAAGTCTGGAATTGTGATGCTTCCCACTTTGCTTTTCAATATTCCTTTGGCTTTTCAGGGTCTTTTCTGGTTCCATACAAATTTTAGAATTGTTTGTTCCAGCTCTGTGAAAAATGCTGGTGTGTTATTATGATAGGGATTGCATTGAATGTGTAAATTGCTTTGGGTAGTATAGACATTTTAACAATATTTGTTCTTCCAATCCAAGAATATGGAATGTTTTTCCATTTCTTTGTATCTTCTTCAGTTTCTTTCATAAGTGTGCTATAGTTTTCAGCATACAGATCTTTTACCTCTTCGGTTAGGTTTTGTCCTAGGTACATTATGATTTTTGGTGCGATTGTAAATGGGATCAATTCCTTGATTTCTCTTTCTCCTGTTTCATTATTAATGTATAGAAATGCAACAGATTTCTGTATGTTGATTTTATATCCTGTGACTTTGCTGAATTCTTGTATCAGTTCATAATTTTTTGGTGGAGTCTTTCAGGTTTTCTACAAAGAGTATCATGTCATCTGTGAAGAGTGAAAGTTTTACTTCTTCCTTGCTAATTTGGATGTGTTTTATTTCTTTTTGTTGTCTGATTGCTGAGGCTAGGGCTTCTAGTACTATGTTGAACAACAATGGTAAGAGTGGACATCCCTGTCATGTTCCTGACCTTAGGGGAAAAGCTCTCAGTTTTTCCCCATTGAGGATGATATTAGCTGTGGCCCTTTCATATATGGACTTTACAGTGTTGAGGTGTGTTCCTTCTATCCCTACTTTGTTGAGGGTTTTTATCAAGAAAGGATGCTGTGTTTTGTCAAATGCTTTTTCTGCATCTATGGAGAGGATCATATGGTTTTTATCCTTTATTTTATTAATGTGGTATATCACATTGATTTGTGAATATTGAACCACCCCTATGCAGCCCAGGAATAAATCCCACTTGATCATGGTGAATACACCTTTTAACAGACTGTTGGATTCCATTAGCTAGTATTTTGTTGAGAATTTTTGCATCCATGTTCATCAGGGATATTAGTCTGTAATTCTCTTCTTTAGTGGGGTCTTTGTCTGGTCTTCGAATCAAGGTAATGCTGGCTTTTTAGAATGAGTTTGGAAGTTTTCCTTTCATTTCTATTTTTTGGAACAGTTTCAGAAGAATAGGTATTAAGTCTTCTTTAAATGTTTGGTAGAATTCCCCTGGGAAGCCATCCGGCCCTGGACTCTTGTTTTTTGGGAGATTTTTGATTACGGATTCAATTTCTTTGCTGATTATGGGTCTGTTCAGCTTCTATATTTCTTCCTGTTTCTCTTTTGGTAGTTTATATGTTTCTAGGAATGTATCCATTTCTTCCAGATTGCCCTATTTGTTGGCATATAATATTCTCTTATAATTGTTTATATTTATTTGGTGTTAGTTGTGATCTCTCCTCTTTCATGCGTGATTTTATGTATTTGGGTCCTTTCTCTTTTTGATAAGTCTGGCTAGGGGGTTATCAGTTTTGTTAATTTTTTCAAAGAACCAGATCTTAGTTTTGTTGATCTGTTCTACTGGTTTTTTTTTTTATTTATTTCTATATCACTTATTTCTGCTCTGATTTTAATTATTTCCCCTCTGCTGGCTTTAGGCTTTATTTGCTGTTCTTTTTCCAGTTCTTTAGGTGTAAGTTTAGGTTGTGTATTTGAGACTTTTCTTGCTTCTTGAGGTAGGACTGTATAGCCATGTACTTCCCTCTTAATACTGCCTTTGCTGCATCCCAAAGGTTTTGGACTGTCATGATTTCATTTCCATTTGCTCCCATGTATTTTTTAATTTCTTCTTTAATTTCCTGGTTAATCCATTCATATTTCAGTATGATGTTCTTTAACTTCCATGTGTTTGTGTTCTTTCCAAATTTTTTCTTGTGGTTGTCTTCAAGTTTCACAGTATTGTGGTCTGAAATATGCATGGTATTATCTCAGTCTTTTTGTACTGGTTGAGGGGTGATTTGTGAGCCAGCGTGTGATCTGTTCTGGAGAATGTTCAATGTGCACTCGAGAAGAATGTGTATTCTGCTGCTTTAAGATGAAATGCTCTGAATGTATCTGTTAAGTCCATCTGGTCCAGCCTGTCTCTCAAAGCCATTGTTTCCTTGTTGATCTGCTTAGATGATCTGTCCATTGCTGTGAGTGGGGTGTTAAAGTCCCCTAATATTATATTATTATCAGTGAGTTTCTTTAATTTTGTTATTAATTCACTCATATATTTGGCTGTCCCAAGTTAGGGGCATAAATATTTACAATTGTTAGATCTTGTTGGATAGACACCTTTATTGTGATATAGTGCCCTTCTTCATCTCTTATTATAGTCTTTGGTCTAAAATCTAGGTTGTCTGGGAGTGCCTGGTGGCTCAATTGGTGGCTCAGTCGGTTGGGCATCTGACTCTTGATTTTTGGCTTGGGTCGTGGTCCCAGGGTCGTGAGATCAAGCCCCACACTGGGCTCTGCACTGGCTGTGGAGCCTGCTTGGGATTCTCTCTCTCCCTCTGCCCATCTCTCTCCTCCAAAAAAAATCTAGTGTGTCTGATGTAAGTATGGCTACTCCAGCTTTCTTTTGATGTCCATTAGCATGATGGAGCCCCTCACGTTCAATCTGGAGGTGTCTTTGGTTCTAAAATGAGTCTCTTGTAAGCAGCATATTGATGGGTCTTGTTTTTTTTATCCATTCTGATACCCTGTGTCTTTTATTTGGAGCATTTAGTCTATTTACATTCAGAGTAATTATTGATAGATACGAATTTAGTGCTATTCTATTACCTGTAAAGTTGCTGTTCCTGTAGATTATCTCTGTGCCTTTTTAGTCTTTGTTGCTTTTGGTCTCTCTTTCCTGCTCAAAGTGTCTCCTTTAATATTTCTTGCAGGACTGGTTTAGTGTTCATGAACTCCTTTAGTTTTTGCTTGTCCTGGAAACTCTTTATGTCTCCTTCTATTCTGAATGACAGCCTTGCTGGACCAAGTATTCTTGGCTGCATATTTTTCCCATTTAGCAGGTTGAATGTATCATGCCACTTCTTTCTGGTCTGCCATGTTTCTGTGGCCAGGTCAGCTGCTAACCTTATGTGTTAACCTAACCCTTGTAGGTTAAAGACCTTTTGTCCCTAGCTTCTTTCAGAATTCTCTCTTTTTTTTTTTTTTTAAGATTTTATTTATTTATTTAATTGACAGAGACAGCGAGAGAGGGAATACAAGCAGGGGGAGTGGGAGAGGGAGAAGCAGGCTTCCCACCGAGCAGGGAGCCCAGTGCGGGGCTCGATCCCAGAACCCTGGGATCATGACCTGAGGTGAAGGCAGTCGCTTAACCAACTGAGCCACCCAGGCACCCCCAGAATTCTTTCTTTATCTTCGTATTTTGCAAGTTTCACTCTCATGTCTTGGTGTTGGCCTGTTTTTGTTGATTTTGAGGGGAGTTCTCTGTGTCTCTTGGACTTGAATGCCTGTTTCCTTCCTCAGATTAGGGAAGTTCTCAGCTATAATTTGTTCCAATAAACCTTCTGCCCCTTTTTCCCTTTGTTCTTCTTGCTTCAGATCAGTTTTAAACAAATAAAATATCACCTTTAAAGAAAGGACTTCAGCCTCCTGAATTGCTTATTCTAGAATCTGCATACTACTTATACAGAAAGGTTTTATTATAATAATAATAATAATAGCTAATCGACCAAGGAATCTTCAAATCTAGATTGGTAGCATTACCACCTCTTTTTTTTCTGTGACATTCACTTTTTTCATTAATTAAAAATAGAATAGTACAATAAATTTCCATACACCCACCACTAAGAATCACAGTTATCAAAATTTTGCCATGTTTGATTCATCTATTATTTTCTTTTTTTTTTCCAAAATTGTGCTTTAAAGCAAATCCTAGATATTGTGTCATTCCCCACTTCCAATGTACTTTAATATACATCTCTAAAAAATACATTTTCTCGGGAACGAACGTGGCGACGACGGAGGCTGGACGTCGGGTTGGCGGGGACGCGCGTGCGCGCCCCCGCCGGAGGTAACGGCGGGAAGGCTCGGGGGCGCGCTCGCGGTGGCCCAGTAACCGCATGGGCGCCCGGGG